GTTGGCGCAGGATAGAGCAGGGTTTAGAGCTGTTGTGCGTAGGGTCGCTATGAGTCGGAAACGACTCGATGGCACATAACAACAACAACAACAACTATGTTTTCAGAAGTGCATTTTTTTCAAGTAAAGTTTTTCCTTCTGGAACAGTTTCAAATTTACAGAAAAGCTGCAAAAATACTACAAAGATTTCCCCCATTCTCCACACCCACTGCAACCTTCAATATGGATTATACCTCAACACCAAGACAGAAATGCTCGCCATCGGACTAACATTATGATAGATGTCAGAAAGATTGAAATGTCAACGACTTCGTCTTACATGGGTCCACAACCAACACACTTGGTCCCAGCAGTCAGGAGATCAGGAGACGCATTGCACTGGGAAAGTCTGCAGCCAGGGACCTCTCCAAATTATTGAGGAGCAATGATGTCACTTTAAAGACTAAAGTGCACCTGATTGAGGCCGTGGTCTTTCAAATCACCTGCTATGATGCTGACAGCTGGAAGTTGGCTGAGAATGACAGGAGAAAAATTGATGTTTTGGGGTTGTGGTGTTCGAGAGAGGGCTAAATATCCCGTGGACTCTCAAAGAACCCCAAACATCTTGAAAAAAGTGCAACCAGAGTGTTACATGGAAGCAAAGATGGTGAAGCTTTGTCTCACATACTGTGAGCATATTATTGTTGTTGTTATCAGGTGCTGTCGAGTTGAGCATGACTCATAGTGACCCTGTGAACAACAGAGCTGAACCCTGTTCTATCCTGTGCCATCCTCACACTTCCTGAGACATAAGGGCCCATTGCAGCAGTCACTGTGTCAGTCCACCTGGTTGAGGATATTCTTCTCTTTTTTTTTAATTGTATTATTTTTACGTGTACCGTCAAATCAGATCTGACTGGTACAGGAGGAGATTGCCCCCTCCTTCTCCAGCAGAGCATCTGGTGGATTTGAACCGCATACCTCTGGGATTGCAGTGCAGCATCTTGCCACTAGGCCACCAGAGCTCCCTAGATATTCTTCTCTTTTGCTGACCCTCCACCCTTCTCAACATCATGTCCTTCTTCTAGAAACAACCCCTCCTAGCAACATGTCCAAAGTATGTGAGGCAAAGCCTCATCATCTTTGCCTCCAAAGAGCACTCTGGCTGCACCTTCTCCAAGACATATCAGTTCGTTCTCTTGGCCGTCCGT